TGGAAGAAGATGAAGGATGAGTATGGGTGACAATTACACTATATTTGAATGTAGTGTTTCAGAATACCTGCAGAAATTATATAATCAATCTTGGAAATCAGTGTTTTCATAAATAATATGCTATACAGCACAGTTGAAAATGATGGCTGACTGTAGAGAGACCACAATATTGTTTCTCTTGCTAGCCATTGGGGATAGGTTGTGCTGTGCGATCCAAATGTGCCCCAGACCTTCTATAATTGCAAAACTAAATGCAATACTTAAAGGGACACTTCAGCGTTAGGAATGCAAATGTGTATTTTAAACGCTACGGTGCCCTGGCAGCCAATTTTTTTCCGATCATCTCAGCTAATCCAATGCTTTCCCACAAGAAAGCATTGGGAGGCTTGTGGCAAAACATCACACTGCGCCAATCAGATGGTTTCTCTTAGACCAACTGATAGAAATAGCAGAGTTTTATTCTGCTATTCCTGCGGGAGAGACTTTATTGGCTCTCTGAGTGGCAACCACTAGAGGCTTTTAAACCCTGCAATGAATACATTGCCGTTCTGCAGAACAGCAATGTTTTCAACTGCATGGTTAAAACTGGGCATTCATTTAGATGAAGTGGCCTTGGTGCCCTTTTAAAGATATGCCTCAGTTAAATACATTAAAAGACTCCAAGAAAGAGAAACTAAAGAAAACAAAAAACTTAATTTAACCTAGCAATATATTGGAATACTTCAATAAATTATTAGTGTTCGAAGGTTAAATCAGCTATTTGAATCAGCTAGTACCCGCAGGAAAAATATATATTTCTGCAAAATCTGTTTTTATTTAAAATTGAAGACAGTTAATAGACACAGCCTCCAGTCCTCTAGTAATACTAATTGGATGCTAACGGTATTTTTTTCTGATTTGCTCCCTATAAGTTTTGGGAATTAATGAAATGTTCAGGTAAAATGTATGAAATTTCTAGCATTCTGTTAAGAACAGTCCATATTTTGCAAGTATTCCCAGATGAATGTGACATTTTGCACCCACTTCTAGTGTAGCCATTGGACATCAATACGGTGTATAGGTATTTGACAACAGGAAATAAAATAGGATTTGAGACAGTTGAGTGAACCGAAAGACACTCTTTTATGCAGCCCCTTTGTGTGCTATGGAAAATTGATGCACAATGATTTTGGAATTTTGTGTCTTCCTCATTATGAAATTATAAATAAAAAGATTTAAGACATTTATGTCTTTTCAAATGAAAAATAAGGGGCTACACATAAACAAGAAATCTTCTGGTGGTCTTCCTTTTTTGCATTGCGTAGGAGGAACATGGTAGTTCCAAGGCTATCTGCAATAAAATAATAAAGTAGTAAATTAATTGCTCCAAACTGGTTATTTCTACATGTCCAAGGAAAACATGTTAACGCACGATTTGGTCTTATGGTTTTATTTCCAACCGAAAATATTTAGACTTAATTTGAAAGAACGTGAAAACCAGATGTATTACAGAAAATAAATGTGCACAGTCACAAATCCTTGTGCACCGTGAACAAAAATTAATATTCTACATTCCTAGACAGAGCAGATCACCCTTATCAGAGGAAACTCAAACAAACAGGACTTTCATCTGCGATGGCCAAAAAACACAAAACTTGCACCAGCAACAGCATTGGGATTTGCTTGTAGAACAACTTTACTCATTCGGTCCTCTTTTAATGCTTTTCCACTCCCAGCCCCTAACAGAGCTGCCCCTAAATCAGCTTCACACAGGCTAAGAGATGTACACTTTTTAATCCCTACGCCCACTGGTTGTCATAACAACAAGCAAGACAGGCAGGTGATTCAATGACAGGGAGCAGATGGTCCCCTGTGGAGGTAACCAAGGTCACACAATGAAACCATATTGATCATATTGCTTCTTTCCCTCGCTCTAGAGTTTTGTTCACTAGTTGTGCCCTCCCCTGACTCTCTGCCTGTGTGTCTACACAATGTATCCTGTCATGCTGCTGCCTACTCCTCCCACTTTACCCCCACTGCTCAATTATTCATGGATGGAGTGGGTAAGTCTCGAATCACCTCCTCGCACACAAAAACTGAAAGGGGGGGTACGGAAGCCAGTGTGGTTTCAAAGGGAAATAAGAAGTGAGAAGTTGGATTAGGCTGCACTCCATGTATTATTGTGCGGCAATTTGTGCTTTGCGAGGAGAGGTCACCTACCATACCGTAGCTGCTACCATCATGCTTAGCCAACAGGGTTCTGGGAGAGCATGATGTGATATCAAAACCAGAGGAGGCCTATTCCTACAGACCAAAAGAAAATTTAGTTAGAGACTTGCTGCAAGTATAACCTTTTCTGATACAGTAATTCTGAAGTTAATTCCCAAAAGGTAAAAGAAAAAGTTGTGAAAGTGTATTTGTTAAGCATGGAATAGTGGAGAATTGACACAATCATTCTGTAAGTATAGATTAACTGGAGAGCTTTCCAATGTAGTTATTTATTACACTTTGGAAATTTCTAAAACTTTTTAACCCCTTAAGGACCAAACTTCTGGAATATAAGGGAATCATGACATGTCACACATGTCATGTGTCCTTAAGGGGTTAAGATTTAATCTTAAAGGGTCACTGCAAGAATCATAACCACTACAGCCCACTCTAGTTATTATGATGTTAGGAGTGCCCTGGCACCATCCACTGGTAATGGGTAGTGATGTCCCGAACGGTTCGCCACGGACGGCGAACATAAAGGAGGTGGGAGGATCTGGGAGGGAGGGTTTGCTGCTGATTGGCTGGAATGTGTCTGCTGACTGTGAGGTGTAGGGTCAAAATTTATGTTTATGTTCGCCGTCCTTGGCGAACCGTTCGGCGAACCGTTCGGCGAACCGTTCGGGACATCACTAGTAATGGGGCAAACCATTTTGCAACGGTTTGCCTTTTACATGGCTTGCATTTTACCTGAGTTTCCCATGAGGTTGGATTAACCGAATCTGGCTTCTGCAGAGCTGTAGAATCAGGATGACGATCCTGACGCTCATTCATTGGCTGAGAGTATCTGCTGAGCTCTCATGGTCCCTGCATGGTGCTGAAGGCTGGGAGCTAGCCAGGCAGTCTGTCCGTGGGTGGGCAGCCTTTTTTTTAGGCAGGCCTGGAAATTATGGGCGCCGCTAGAGACATAATTTCGCCCCCTCTGGCTCCGGCCACCCCATCCCGTGTCCCGATTGTTTGGAGGTATGTTTTAACTCGTCTCCTAACTGTGCCACGTTAATACTTTAATCCTGCAGTAAAACCTTTCAAAACAGGACAGTCCCTCCAGCTCCAGGACATTGGGTGTAACAGGACCGACTAGTAGATCACAGCCACTTTCCAAATGCAAGAGTTAACAGAAACTTGTAAATATTTTTTTAACATATTACTTTAAAAATAATTTGACTTGGAGACATAAAGATCAATAAAAAAAAACATCTAAAAGTAAAATGTTGAATTGAATAGGAACATCGTAAAAGGACAGTGCTATTAGTAAATAATAAAAGCACCCTATTTAAATACCACCATAAGCATAGCACACTGCTCATATATTTGAACTGAGTTTTTGTAAAATCTATTTAAAGACTACATAAATGGGGGATAAAAATTCACCCGAGAATGTGCGTTCAATGGAAATACGCAGCTCTGTAATAACCAAAGAGAAGGGAAAGCAATTGTGTTAAACAACTATTTTAACATGAGCAACTGTTTTATCAAAGCTGCAGGTGTTTTATGAACACATAGAATATTCTGGCAGGAATATACGTGGCCTGTTCAGTTCTTTTAACTTCAGCATAAAAAAACCCCACAACAATAGTTTCTTAGTATTTTTTTTTGTGGGTAATCAAAAGCCATGTAAAAGGCAGGGACAATATGGGGTCACAGTATTTGTAAATCCATTCTACAGTGAACTTTTACAGGCTTGAGTAGGAGGTCTTGTTCCCCAATTTAATGGAGATAGGCCTGAAAGCATGTAGCTCTTAGCAAACATGTTTACAAGTAGCAAAGAAAGAACTCTTTTCAAAAACCTCCTTTTTATGCAAACAGCAGTCAAACACCTGTGATTTAACAAAAATGGGTGGCTAAGAACAGCTACCCGGAGCATACAATTGATTTTAAGGTACACTGCATGAAGTAAACAGACACAATAGCTATTTATCCATGATTGAGTTGTACTAGGCAGTCCATTGAAACCCCTAGACACAAAGAATATGCAAAATAAACATCGTAATAGGTAGTGTGTAGCAGTGCTGTGGATGCTGCGTAGTTCCAATGAGTCTCTATTTAGGGACAGACAGTCCCACGTTAGGACCCAAATATTTGTTCTTCTTTTCTACCCAGGTGTCTCCCTCTCTGAGGGGATAAGATGTTTGGCGTGTGTAGAAGTGAATTACACCGCTCCATACTAAACGTGGAATAAAAATTATTTGATGCAACTGTTTTTCTCAATCTGGCTGAAATTAATAATATTTACTAACACTAAACATGAAGGTGAATTATACTGATTTTGAATAAACCCAAGGGTTGTGTAATAATTATGCTTCAGCTTTGTCACAGGGAGTTTATACCTTAGTGTGTCATAGTTGGATAATTAATTCACAAAACACTCCAGTGAGGAATGAATAAGGCAATGTAATTAGGAATAAGGCGTAACTAGGGAAGGAAAACAACTCAAAATCGTTTAATCTGTAGGAAGATTATCACATTGGGATTTCCGCAGCACATACAGTTGAAATCAGAATTATTCAACCCCCATTGAAAATCAAGTTTGTTGTCAAAATTTACTAACTTTCAGAGGTTTACAATGAACAAATCAAACAAAGGCAATTGGAACAGCTCAACACAACGAATGCTTCAAGTGGTTTCCCCAAATGCAACTTCTAATTACATTCGTTGTGTTGAGCTATTTCGATTGTTTTTGTTTGATTTGTTCATTGCAAACAGCTGAAAGTCTGTAAATTTTGACAATAAACCTGATTTTCAATGGGAGTTAAATAATTTTGATTACACCTGTATACTAAAATTGGAATGATACGGAGATTAGCATGGCACCTGCACAACAAGGATGACATGCAAATTTGTGAAGCGAGTAAAAAATAATAATAATAAAAAAAAAAATATATATATATATATATAGAATAATTAAAGAAACGGAGCACTCCACAGGGATTTTTTAAATATCTATTTTTCAATACACATTTAAAAAATCCATGTGGAGTGCTCCGTTTCTTTACTTATTCTGTTTATGCACTGGAAGCACCCGGGTATCATTGGATTTGTATATTTTTGTATTTTTTAGTGAGTGCCAGAGGTTGGATTATTATATATATATATATATATAATTATATATCAAGTGCATAAAAATTATGGGAACTGTACAACAGCTTATAACTAGTGTGTCATTTTTTTTTAGTACAGAAATATAGTTTGAATTTAGCTCTGCAATAAAATCATTGCAGTAACTACTAATTGGCAGTGTTTTACATTGCTGGGCTAAAATGGCAGGAGCCCTGCACCCAGGCCACTTCACTGAGATGAAGTGGTCTGGGTGCATTTAGTGTCCCATTAAACAGGCTATGTCTCCGATACAAGGCAGTAGTATACTGCAATTGCACATGTACCATTCTCTAACCATTGCTTAGTTATGTTGCCTCTTATTTTCTCTTCCTAGAAAGTTTGGGCCCTTTGTACCTTTGCCCATTTCCTGCACTTTCTCCTGATATATTTGACTATTTAATTTCTGACTCTTTGCCAGTGTATACCTGACAGTGAAATTACCACAATACTTCTCAAATCTGACACTTTAAACTGTTTTGCTACCACTGTCCCCATTCCATTTGATTTTGCCTTTTGTTTGTGTTAGCCCCATATGCTATCATTTACTTGCTTGGAATCTGTCCCCAATGTCAGGTCACAATTCACCACCACTACCTTGATCTCGAGCTTGCATCACACAAACCCAAGGCCAGCCATGTTGTTTATATCCCAATGTATTATACATAATATTTCTTCATTTCAGCAGCATCGTATTAATATATCCCTGGAAAGGTGCCCTTTTTGCTTTTAAAATAAAAATTGTAGCAGCAATTATAGACAAAATTCATACCTTCATTCCTAATAATTTCTTGTTACTATGTGACAAAGTATTGCTATAGATGCATTAGTGCTTTACAACCGAATACAACAATATGTTAAAGATGCGCAGAGCAATGAAGAAAAGGCAGAGCCCTATCTAGAATAGAGTTGGGTCACGTAAACAAAGTGAATGAACACAATTTGGAAAAGGTCACACACTTGAATAATTAGGAGTTTGTTGCATAATGAATGATCACTCCACCCAGCATAGGAAAATAAATAATGTTTGTCCTAGATGCTTGTAAAAGATGATTAATAATTAGAGAATACTGGGACAAAGAATGAATCTTTAAAGGACTAAAGACTAAAGGCACCCAGACCACTTATCTCAATGATAAGTGGTCTGGGTGCCTTTCGTTTTAACTCTGCAATCTTCAATTTTGCTGTTTAGTAGATATAGCAATGTTATGGTTGCAGGGTTCTTATAATTATTATTGTTTATAGCATTTATATAGTGCCAATTTATACACTATCTTTACAATATTATAAAAGGGGTAAATGTAACGATAAATGAGACAATTACAAAATGTTACAGGAACAATAGGTTGATGAGGACCCTGTACAAACGAGCTTAGAATAAAGAGAAGGTGGTGTATAAAAACACATTAGGAATCGAGGAGAATAGCAACCAAGCAACAAGGTGGGACAATAGCAGAACTGGAAGATGAGAGAGGAATGTGGCCCTTTAAGAGAGACAAGAGACAGGCTTGTTTCAAAGAAGTTACTTTGGTAGGACATATGTTTTTCTGACAAGATGGGTTTTGAGAGACTTCTTAAATGATTGAAGACTAGGGGAAAGTCTTATGGGGGTATGCAGGCTGCTCCAAAGAAACAGAGCCGTCTGCGAGAAGGGTGCGAGCAGCAGACAGGAGAAAGTCACCGGGCAAAGCGGAGAGGGGTATACCCAGTGGTGTATTTTGGTTTTGTGCTGCCCTAGGCATGACTAAACCTGGGCACCCACCATCCCTTCCTGTCAAGGCCGCACCTCTTACTGATTAAGAACCTACCGATTGCTCTTTAGACTCCACCTTTTCCTACTCCTTTCAAAGGGATACTACTAGGGATACACTATGGGACAGGTGATGGGGGGGGGAAGAACACTATGGGATGGGGGGGGTAAAGAACACTATGGGACAGGGAGGGAGAACACCAGGGGAGGGGAAGAACACTATGGAAAAGGGGGGGGAAAGAACCCTATGGGACAGGGGAGGGGAAAGAACACTATGGGACAGGGAGGGGAAGAACAATACAGGGAAGGTGGAAGTACAATATGGGACAGGGGGGGAAATAACACTATGGGACAGGAGGGGGAAAGAACAATATGGGACAGGGGGGGGAGAACAACATGGGACAGGGAAGGTGGAAGAACAATATGGGACAGGGAGAGGGAACACAGGACAGGGGAGGGGAAGAACACTATGGGACGGGGAGAACACTATGGGACAGGGGAGGGGGGAAGAACACTATAGGACAGGGGAGGGGGGGAAGAATACTATGGGACAGGGGAGGGGGAAGGACACTATGGGACAGGCGAAGGGGGGGAGAACACTATGGGACATGGGAGGGAGGATAACACTATGGGACAGGAGAGTCGGAGAAGAATACTATGGGTCTAGAGAGGGGGGGAAGAACAATATGGGACGGAAGGGGAAGAACACTATGGGACGCGTAGGGGGGGAAGAACTCTATGGGATGGGGGAAAAAACACTGGGACAGGGGAGGGGAGAAAAGAACACTATAAAAGAAGGAGGGGAGAGGAACATTAAGCAGGGGGGGCACTAAAAGAGAAGGGAGGTTTTTCATATTAGATTAATTAAATTCATTAAAAAGTCTAATATGAAAAAAATTATAGGAAAAAAACATTTTTTAAATCATTTGGGGGAAAAAAAAGTCATTTTCGGTTTCGGTTTTTGGCCAAGGGCATCCTGAATTTTCGGTTTCGGTTTTGGCCCAGAATTTTCATTTTGGTGCATCCCTAGATACTACAGTGCCACAAAGAAAAGGCTGTTTTCCTAGCACTATAGTTCCCTATACAGACACACACACACTCAATGACAAACACACAGATGTCACTAGACATGTACAATTCGTTTCGGTCCGAATTGCCAAAGTGCCGAATTGCCGAGGTCCCGAAGTTCCAAATTACCTAAGTTCCGAAGTGCCGAAGTTGCCAAAGTTCCGAAGTGTCAGAGTGCCGAAGTCCGAAGCACAGTACTGCCTAAGTACTAATATACTTACCCAGTGAAAGAAGAAGAATGTTACATTGTATACAATTTTAAATAAAAAATATACAAACATAGCCAGGATTCAGCTGTAAGCATTTGGAACACTTACAACAATCAAGTAACATATATTCATATAAAATGTAAGTTACTTAGCCAGTCAATGTAATGACAGGAATGAATAAGTAGGTAACTCCCTAATTCCCACGGTATAAGGGAGCTATCTACTAAAAGGCTGAAAGTCCTAAATTGGTCTTTCAGCCAAATTTACTAATACTAAGTAAAGATTACTTAGTATTAGTAAATTATGCACCCAACTCGCTATACCGCGAGTAGGGGCATGTCTATTAAACAGTGAGCCGCCTGTGGCTGCTCACTGTTTTAAAAAAAAAAAAGGTCCCCCTCCCGAGCTTTTAAACTAAAGGGGGGACCTATTGCCCACCCCTGAGCGGCGGGTGGGGGCCCTAAATCAGAATAAGGTGGGGGGGAACTAATGTCCTCCCCCCTGGTCCCCACCCTTGAGCGGCGGGTGGGGGCCCTAAATTATAATAAGGGGAGGACCCAATGTCCCCTATTAGTATTTAGGTCCCCTACCTGCCGCTCAGGGGTGGGGAGCAGGGGGGAGGACAATAGGTGTCCTCCCCTTATTAGTATTTAGGGCCACCATCCATCGCTAAGGGGTGGGGGCCCCCACCCGCCGCTCAGGTCCCCCCCTATTCCAATTTAGGGCCCCCACCCGCCGCTCAGGGGTGGGGGCCAGCGGGAGGACATTAGGTCCCCCCCCTTATTAGTATTTAGGGCCCCCACCCACCGCTCAGGGGTGGGGGCCAGGGGGAGGACATTAGGTCCCCCCCTTATTAGTATTTAGGGCCCCCACCCACCGCTCAGGGGTGGGGGTCAGGGGGGAGGACATTAGGTCCCCCCCTTATTAGTATTTAGGGACTCCACCCGCCGCTCAGGGGTGGGGGCCAGGGGGGAGGACATTAAGTCCCCCCTTATTTTACTTTAGGGCACCCACCCGCCGCTCGGGGGGCATTAGGTCCCCTCCCCTTATTAGTATTTAGGGCCCTCACCTACCGCTCAGGGATGGGGGCCGGGGGGGAGGACAATAGGTCCCCCCCCATCATTTTACTTTAGGGCCCCCACCCGCCGCTCAGGGGTGGGGACCGGGGGGGGGGGGCAATAGATCACTATTTTTTTTTTAACAGTGAGCAGCCACAGACTGTTTACTAGACATGCCCCTACTCGCTATAGCGAGTAAGGGCAAAATTTACTAATACTAAGTAATTTTTACTTAGTATTAGTAAATTTGTCTGAAAGACCAATTTAGGTCTTTCAGCCTTTTGGTAGATAACTCCCTAATACCGTGGGAATTAGGGAGTTATCTACCAAGCGGCTACAAGACAAGTCCCGAAGTGCTGAAATGCCGAAGTTCCGAAATTCCGAAGTGGCGAAGTTGCTGAATTTCCAAAGTGCCAAAGTTCCGAAATGCTGAAGTGTCGAAGTTCCGAAGTGTTGAAGTAACGAATTGCGAAAGTCCCGAATTGCGGAAGTCCTGAATTTTGGAATACCGAACTGAACTGAAAATTTTCCCCATGCACAAATTTTCCCCATGCCTAGATGTCACTGATTTGACACACACACATTTACTGACACACACTCATTCATTGACAAACACACACACTGACAGACACACAAATACTGACAGACACTCATTGACAGACACACACTGATAGTCACGCACACACTCAATGACAAACAGACTCTCACTGATTTGACAGACACTCACAAACATACCGGGGATGTCCTAGTGGGCGTTTGGGGGTGAAATTTTTTCCCGCTCCTTGCTTAGTGCCGGCCAAGGCAAATTCATA